TGGCTCCTGTCAGGTCACAACCAGACACCTGTTCCTCCAGGTGGCCCCGGGTCCCCAGCAGTGACCCCTAAGTTATCTCTCACCTGCCCCCAGACTACATCCAACAACCCCCAAGGAAACCCCTGGGCCGGCTCGGGTTTCACCCGATGGCAGCACCCCCAGACCCCCAGGCACAGCTTCCGAGTCCCCAAGGCAGGTCCCTCCCCCTGGGAGACTTTTACACAGATCAGACTGCACCCGAGGCCCTGTGGTCACAGCCCCCTGTACCCTGGGCCCTGAAGTCCTCTCCCGCACACGCCTGATGGGTCTCCTCTACAGGACACATCTACGTGCCCGGTGGCCCACACGCCACCTCCCCACAGCCCTGCGCCATGTCCCCCCAGGTTTCACCCAGATGCTCAGCCACCAGAGTAGAGACGGCACTTCCATGTCGTCAAGGGGAGGCCCGGAAGCACCTGGTAAGATGACCCTGCTGCGCCTGCCACCACCCGCTCCAAAGTCCAGGGCTCGATGGCCCCAAGAGCATCGATGGCCACCTGCTTGGCTCACGGGCCAGCGGCCCTCCACACGGGCAGACCTGAGGGGATAGGGGATGGGAGTCCACCTGGAGCGGGCCTTGGGGTGGCCGTCCCAGAGCCCCCTGCGCTGCCCCAGCTGTCCCTCCCCAGGCCCACGAGCTCCGTGTTCCGGATCTTCAGCCTGGCCCACCCCCGATGCCAGTCAAGGTGCTCAGCCTGTCGCCTCTGTGACATCGCCCGCTGGATCATCACCCAGGGGCAGGCGGAGGATGGTCCCTGCCTGGAGAAGGGCCCTGTTATCATGGCGTCCATGCAGGTGCCCGCTGCCCCCTCACCTGGGCAGATGTTGCCCTGATATTGTCCTGACGTCCACCTGAATGACAGGAGAGCTGCAGTCGGGACGGAGGCCCGCAGCTCCCGGCCCGGCTCGCCTGGGCCCCGTCACAGTGTGGGCAGCCTGGACACTCCTGGGACCCATCTCTCCCTCACCCACCCCACAAACGTGACCATCCCTGGCCTTCCTCCCACAGGACCTGACTCCTCCCTGTCACCCAGGGAACACACCCATCCCCCAGCCTTCCTCCCTACCAGCCTCCAGACGCGGCTTTTGAACACAGTGTGGTGGGGCTCTCTCCTCCTCCAACACCTTCTATGGCTCACAGCTGCCCTCCTCTTCATCCCCTCTAAAGTCTCTCTGCCCATGATCCCTGCTCACCATTCACTCTTTTTTTTGGGGGGGGCGGTTACTGTGGCTCAGGGGCACTCGATCACTGAGCCACACCCCCAGCCCTATTTTGTATGTTATTTAGAGACAGGGTCTCACTGAGTTGCTTAGGGCCTCGCCGTTGCTGAGGCTGGCTTTGAACTTGCCATCCTCCTGCCTCAGCCTCCTGAGCCGCTGGGATGACAGGGATGCCCCCCTGCACCCGGCCACTTGGCCATCTCTATAAACACACCAGCTGTTGGATTTAGGGCCCCCATGAATCTGGTGTGAGCTCTCCGTGACCGCCTGCATCCACAAAGACCCTATTTCCAAATAAGATCACGTTCTGAGGCTCCAGATGAACATGAAACTCAGGGGACACTGTTCTGTTCAGGGGCCAGGGTGGCAGCTGCGGCTGCAGAGGGGTTGAATGCTGTGGGGCATTTCCTAGCAATGGGAAGGCTTCGCCCCTCTGGCCCTCGGTGTCCTCCTCAGGAAAAATGGGGCTACCACAAGGATACGCTGACGTCACCCTGAGAGCCTCGCCTCCCGGGCTGTTGATGTCCCTCAGGGGGACAGACCCCGCCCGGGCGACCCTGAGGTGGCTCCTCCTCCCTCGCCCCGCCTCACCTCCAGCGGCATCCAGGCCAGAGCTGGGCACCCAGGAGCCCCCGAGGGTCTGGAAGGAAGGCTGGGGCGGGTGTCCCCAAGACGCTGAGGGGATGGCGCTGTCCCTCTGCCTCCACAGGGAGGCTACAAAGGCTCCGAAGCAGACGTATCCCTCGCGGCTCTTGTCCTGGTCGCCCTGAGGGAGGGGAAGGAGTTGTGCAGCCCAAGGGTGCCAGTAGGAAGCGGTCAGGGGGGACAGGTCTCCCCATCCCCATCCCTGTCCCGCACACGGGGGGCTCCCGTCCTTCAGCCCCTCTGGACTCCTCTCTCCTGACTCCCAGACCTCTCTCCGCTGACCTCCTCTCTCACCTCCTCCCCCGAAACCTCTAGAACTTGGACGGCAGCATCAGGAAAGCCTGTGGATTTCTGGAGACAAAACTGCCTCATGTCCACACAACCTTCGCCATGGCCAGAGCCTCCTATGCACTGGCCCTCGCCAAGAGGCCCCTGGCCAACAGCCGCCTGGACAGCTTCGCCAGCCGTGGAGGGCGCGGGGCACCTCGTAGCCCACCGTGTGTTGCCCGCAGTCACTGGGGTGGGGAGGGAGCGCGAGGGCGAGTACAGCCATGTGTGACACATCATTTGGTGTTTGCTGAGCACCTATTTTGCACCCATACTGGGACTCATACCCTAAGAGACCCACGTGAACAAGACCCTGCCCTCCAGGGTTTCCCTGTCCCTGGGGGAGGCGAGCAAAAGACAAACACGTCAATATATCATTACCCACTGAGACGAGTAGGGAGACGGGTGGGCGAGAGAGATGGCGGAGAACAGACTGGAGGCTGGGGTGATTGACAGGAGCCACACCTGTGTGGAAGGCCAGGCACCTCCAAAGCACCTGTGTGGCCAAAGGTGGGATGAGGATCATAAAATGCAGGTTTTGCATTTTATGGGCCGCCCCTAGGGTCCATTCCCCACCTGCATACCCCAGTCAAGGAGAGTGGAGCTAGGAAACGCACCCACAGGGGCTGGGGAGCCACAGAGGAGCTGCTCTGAAGCTCGGCTTCCCCGCATCTACATAGTCAGAGTCCAGTTCCTAGGGTGACTTTGAAATGTCCACATGTCCTTAACCAACGGTTGCCCAGAAAGTAGGTGTTCAATAAAACAGCAAATTAGAAGGGGGTCCAAGATGGCACAAGGTGTGGGCAGGTCGAGGTGGGTGGGCCCAGGGTGGGTGACCAGGAGGGGGTGCTCCTTCTAGACAGAACCCACAGGCCGGTGGGCAGCCTGCCCCAGAACTCCCTGTTCACGGTGGAGGCCACGGCCTATGCGCTGAGGCAGAAGCTGGAGCTGGGCCTGCACAATGACACGGACGCCATCAACAAGTGGCTGCTGGAGAAACGCGAGCTGGGCAGTGGCTTCGGGTCCACTCAGGTGACGGGCCAGGAGGCGCCCAGACACTAACCCTTGCTGCCCGACCGGAAGGAGCTGTCCGTGGTGCTGACGCCCCGGGCCGCTCTCGGCGCTGTCTGTGGTGCTGATCTGAGGTCCCCACCCCGCCTCGCAGACCACGATGGTGACCCTGGGAGCCCTGACCCGCTCAGCTTAGCTGTCCCCTTCGAGGGCATCCAGGATCTCCAGGTCCACATCAGCACCCCCAGCAGGTCCCTGAACAAGCAGTGGCTCACTGACCAGATCCAGCACCTGCAGCTCCCGGCCGCGGCAGTCACCATCTCGGTAGCTGTGGGACCCACGCCTCGGCCACTCTGGCTGCCAAATCCACTTCTCGCACTTCTGGAGGGGGGATCCCGAGTCCAGGCACTGGAGAGCTGGTGTCTGGCGTGGCCCACCTCTGGTTGGTAAGTGGCAGCCATTTGTGGGGCCCCTCTGATGGGCCCTCTAACCCCTCCCGCTCCGCCCTCCTGACACGTCACCCCTCACAGGCCCGTGTCCCCACACCCTGCTGTTGAGGATCAGGTGTCAATAAGTGAACTGGGGGAGGCACAAACATTCACGCCACAGGACCCACCCTGGGGTCCCTAACTGGACAGAGCCCAAGTCCCCTCATTGGTGGGGACAGGGACAGGTCCAATGCTCCAAGGCAAGGCCCAAACGAGCAATGACCCAGGCACCATCAGGGCACCAACATTTGCCAGGAACCAGCTGAGGACCACTCAAAGGCCCAGGGAAGGAGGTGAAGGTGGGACTCCATTCAGCAGGTGGGGTGCCGGCTCCTGGTGGCCTCAGTTGTCCCAAATTAAGGGCCACAGAAGTCAGAGGCTAGGGGCGCCTCTGTTCCTGCCATCCTGAGCCCCTCCTTCCTCCCCGCAGGAAAGTGTTTCCCTCTAGGTGGCCTCTCCAGGCCCAGAGGTGAACTCCACCCTCCCAAAATGGGAGCCAGTGATCCCAAGCTCTGTGCCCAGGAGGACGGGCCGGTTTCCCGTTAGCGGGTGCCAGGAACACAGTCACTGTTGAATTTCTGCCGTGGACAAAGCACACCCTTCTTAAGCCTCAGTCAAACTTAAGTTGACATGAGTTAAAATCAAACAAGATCAAAGCTTCGGTCCCTCCATGCTCATCCCCAGGTGGCTAGCCACTGCCATCTTTGGACAGGGACACAGAGACCATTTCTATCACCACAGAAAGTTCTGTCATACAGTGTTCTGGCCGCTGAGCCTAGGAACCAAGGGGCAGGCCCTGAAGGGAGTTCCCCAGTGGCCAGAGGCCTGGAAACTCAGATGCCGGGGCAAGGGGGAGAGGGAACGTGGGTAGGCTCTGGAACCCCCTTTTCTGCCCCGGTCCCCGGAATCCTGGAGGACAGTTGCGACATGTACCATCTCGATGTGACACTCCAGAGTGCCCCAGAAGGCAAGCCTGGCCCCAGGGATTCCTGAGTCCCTGGAATGACAGATGTGAGCCACTGTGCCTGGTCCCTTCTTGCTTATTATTTTAACTGTCATTCGTCAGCCATGTTAGTGGCTCTGTTCAGCCATCGGACCAACGCTTGGTGAGCACTGACGGCTGCTGGACCATTTCTGGCCCTGGGAACAGAGGCGAGAACAAGAAAAACATCCCTTCTTTTGGAAGCCACATTCTCGTAGGGAGCAGGGAGAGAAATAATCGCACACACGCGTGCGTGCGCACAAACACACACACACACACACACACACTTATTTTATACCATTTTCTATTTTATAACATAAGTAAATGTACAAGAAATTAAATATATGGCATAATAGTAAGTGATGAAAAATGTCATACAAAATAATGTAGGAAAAGATGATGTAGATTGTGGGGAGAAGAGGGAGGATCTCGCAGGAGGCAGTATTTGAACTGAGAGGTGAAGAAATTGAGGGAGCGAGCCATGAAGGCCCTGAGGAAAACGCCAGTGCAAAGGCCCTGAGGCAGGAATGGGCACACCTGTCTGAGAAGCAGTGAGACAGTGAGGCCCAGAGCAGACGGGGCAGAGCTGCGGTGAAAGGGTGGGTGGGTAATAGGAGAGGTGCCCAGGGACTTGTGGGCCACCGTGAAGACTTTGGCTTTTGCCCTGAGTGAAGTGAGAGCCGGAGACAGTTCTGAGCAGAGGGGGGACATGACCCAGCGCAGGGTTCCAGAGCCTCACTCTCAGTGCTGTGCAGGAAGAGTCTCCAAGGGGGAGGGCGGGAGCTGCGAGGCCAGGGAGACCACGGGGACCGACGGGGTCACAGCTTGGAAATGATCAGAAAGAGTGGAACTGTACGGTTCCCAGCTGGGGTGCCAAGAGGGGAAGGACAGCACCCCGCCACTGGGAGCTCCCTGAGAGAGGGAAGGAGGAGCCTCGCCAGGCCTAGGGATTTCAGGGACAATCAGTGGCCAGGCCTTTGGTTTTGGCCCTGTTTCTTCAGCAGCAGCATCGTCACCATCATCCTCAAAGCTGAGGGCTGCAATGCACTGGCCAGGCCCTGTGCTAAGTGCTGTATTTATATTAACTCATTTATTCCTCAAATAACCTCTCAAGGTGGAATATTGTAATCTGACTGAGGGAACTGAAGCACAGAGAGGTTAAGTAGCCCAAAGTCACACAGCCACAGCATCAGGATTTGAGTCCAGGACGCTGGCTTCAGAGCTTGTGAGCTTAACCACTGTGCAATCCAGCCTTCCAAACTCTTCTGCCTTCTCTTTGCAGAAAATAAAAAGGGGGAGGAGACCTTCCAGCTCTGAATGGAAACAAGGTCAGAGCACTAGGACTCGGGGCTGGGCAGGAGGAGGGCCCCACTCTGTAGAATCCAGATTCCTGTGCCCTGACTGGGGTGGGAAACACTGAGCCTGCTCTCCACACCTCTCCTCATCCCACCCGCTCCTGCCCTCCCCTCTGCCACCATCCTGTGTGTCCACGTGGCCCAGGATGCCACCTCCAGTGCACCAATGTCATCTCCAGATGCCCAAAGCTGACTCCCGCCCCATGGCCCTCCCCAGGTCTTATTTTCTCCAGACACCCACCCCTCACCCGAGTCCTGCTGTCACCCAGACTCCCTTGGCACCTGCTGTGTGCCAGCCTCTGTCCTAGGATCTAGGGGGCGAGCTCTGGACAGGGCAGACCCTCCCTGCTCGGTGGTGCTCACAGACTATCAGAGGACTTGGATGGTGAGCAAATGATCACTGGGAATCCGTATAAAATGACAACCCTGAGTAAATGTGGCAAAAGAGGCGACTGAGGGTTCCCAAACACCAGCTGAGACAGAGAAGATGACGAGAGAAGAGCAGGAGTTCCAGGCCGAGGGACCTGCGTGTGCAAAGGCCCTGGGGTCAAGAGAGGGGCTGAGGCTTAGAGCCATCAGATGGAGCTGGAGGGAAGAGGTGGAGCAGGGAAGGACGCAGAGCCCCAGAGGACATCTGGAGGCAATGACGCTTCAGATTTCTGCTTCCAACCTTCCACTGCGGGCAGAGTGGAGCTGGGGAAACTCAGGAGGCTCCTGCACTAGTACAGGCAAGAGATGCCACAGTGGGGAGCATGGGGACAAAGGCAGAGGACGGCTGGAAGAGCCGAGGGCTGTGAAATCCGCAGGTTCCAGGGCAACCAGGTGGCCACCATGACCATCATGGAGATCTCAATGCTCACCGGCTTCCACCCCAACGAGGATGACCTCAAACAGGTGACCCAGATCCACCCGCCCCACCCTCACTCCCCTCGTGACAGAAGTTGCACCTCCCAGTGCTGAGGCTCAGGCCGGGGCCCCCTCCGTGGTCAGATCATTGCTGCACGCCGTCCTGGACGCCTTGGCCAGATCCTTGCCATCCCTGCTGGCTGTCCCTTGGGGGGGATGGGGGCAATCAGAGAAGGCTGGGAGCTGGCACTGCAGCTCCTAGGACTGGGGCTGGAGGACTCTCTGCTGACCCCCGCTGCCACCCTCTGGCCCAGCTCACCAGCGAGTGGAGATGTATGCGTTCCAGTATGAGACCAAGGCCAGTTCCAGTATCAGCTCCGTCGTTCTCTACTGGAAAAGGTGAGGCCGAAGGCAGCGACCCCACAGGGAGACTCCTGGCTGGGGTCTGCAGAGAGCCACTCCCTCTGGTCCGGTTGCCTGTAGTCAAGGCCACGTGGTCAGTGGCTATGAGCAATGGTCGGCACCACGAGGTCAGTGCCGCGTGGTCATTCGGCTGGACTCTCCCCACCTGGCCCCACCTCCCGCCACCGGCACAGCTCTCCCACAGGGAAGGCACGGTGCTGGGCTTCCGGGTCCACACGATGCTGCAGACCGACCTCCTGCAGGCCGCGCTGGTCACCGGCTACAACTACTGTGAGCGGCGGTGGGCCAAGAGGCCCGCAGGGGATTGAGCCAGGGGCTGGGAGGGCGGCCTGGGCGGCCATGGGCGCGGCCTTCTCGGGTGGCCCTAGTGGGCGGGGCCTGCGAGAGGTTGGCGGGGCAGGGCCGGCAGGGGGCGGGCCGGGAAGAGGTCAGGAAAGGCCTGGAGGGGACCGGGCGGGTCCTGCGGGCTTGGGGCGGGATCGAGGGGGCGGGGTGAGGGGCGGGGCCCGACGATCGCCCCGCCCCTAAGGGACCCGCCCGAGCCCACCCGGCCCTGCCGCCCGCAGCCCAGAGGTGCAGCGCCTTCTACCACCTGCCTCCCCGCCGGCCTCCCTGCGAAGGATCTGCCACCTCGACGTCTGCAGAGGTGCCGAAGGTGCGCGGGCGGGAGCGCTGGGCCGCGGGGCTCGGGGTCCCCGGCTCTGGGCGGGGTGTCGCACACAAACAGGTAAAGGCCCAAGAGCACGGGACGGGCAGAGGCCAGAGGAGACCCGGGGCCCGCCAGGCGTGGCCATAGCCCTGGGGTGGGGGGAATAAAAGTGGCAAAGAAAAACGACAAAAAGAAAGCAAGATGGACAGAGAGGGACGGAAAGAAGGAAGCAGGAGGAGGAGGACCGATGGGGAGGCCCTGCGGCTCCCGAAGCCCAGACCCAGAGCAGCCCGCCCCCGAGGAAGGACGGAGGGAGGCTGAGGCAGGAGGAGCTCCAGGCGGCCGCGTGCGAGGCGGTCGTGGACTTCGGTAAGGTGGAGCCACCCGGTCGGGTGACAGCGGGCTGGGAGCCAGAGGCGACGCCATGCCCTCCGCCCTGCCTTCCCCAGTGTATAAGGCCAAGCTGGAGGCCGTGGAGGCCGCTGGGTCGAGCCCTTACCTCTACTACCACATGCAGCTGCAGGCCGTCATCAAGAGCGGTGAGGCCCAGGACTGGCCAAGCGGGCGGGAGGCCCTGGGCGCCATCCCCAGCCCTGAGGGATGGGGGGCTGGATGTCCCAGGTGTCTGGAAGGGGGGAAGGGCATGTGGCTCTCTGGGTCCCAGCACGAGGGAGGGCCTGGTCTGCACATGCGCTCACATCAGGTCTCTTCCAGGCCCGGACCCTGCTCTGCCCCTCAGAGTGAAGAAATTTGTCACCCAGGCCACCTGCTATGACTCCTTGGGGTTGCGAGAACAGGGGTCTTACGTCATCCTGGGCCAGACGTCAGACCTGTGGAGAGTCAAGTCTGGGTGGTAGGAGACTCGGTGGCCCAGGGACTCAGGCCGAGATGCCCCGCCCCCACTCCAGCCTGCCCTGGGTTTCCCCATTTCTGCTGGATGTCAGCAGGAGGTCTGGGACGGGAGGGCCACCCTGAACCTAGTGCAGGTCTCGCACTGAGTGACTTCAGGAAAGCTCATTCACAAGAGGACCGCGTGACCATGACCTCTGTTTCCCCGGGAGGGCAGAGAAGGGCCAGAGGGCCGGGCACTGTGTGGCCTTGTTTTCCTAATCCTCAGTCATATGGGAAAAGGCTGGAGATCCGGAGCTGAGACCCTCGAAGGCTGCCAACCATGGCAGAAGGAAAAGGGGGGGAGGTCCCCAACCCCCAGGACACCAGACTCTCCTTACGGGTCTTGCTGTCCCCGACAGATACAGCTAAGCGCCGGGCAAAAAGACGTTCCTCATGCTTTGGCCAAGCCATGGGGACAGGGGCAAGAAGGACTTGCTAGCACAGTGGAGGGGTTCTCAGAACACCTGAGCGCCCACGGCTGTGATCCTGAGGCCCAAAGGCCTCTGCTGCTCCCGGGAAGGTGTCTCTAAGAAACTTTGGGTCACAGGGTTCAGCCCCAAATAAAGAGCACCAAGTTCAGTATGCAGATGGCAGACGTGTGTCCTGTTCCCCCCCCCACGCGCCCCTGCCCCCCACCCCTTTCCCACCTCGACCTGACCACAGGACTTTGTATTTATAATCTCCCCCCCATTTTTTAAAAATATTTTTTAAACATTTATTTATTTATTTATTTTAGGTGTAGATGGACACAACACAATGCCTTTATTTTTATGTGGTACTGAGGATCGAACCCGGGTTCTGCCTTGCTAGGCCAGCGCTCTACCGCTGAGCCACAATCCCACCCTCACTTGCCCAGTTTTCATTGCGCTATTTGATCTTTGGTGTGAAGGTGTTTTGAGTTCCTTATGCAGTCTAGATGTCAACCCTCTGTGAGAAGAGCAACTAGCGAAGACCCTCTGCCATCCTGGGACTCTTCAGCTTCCCGTCTCCTTTGCTGTGCTGTACTTATTACTTTTTAATGATATGTGAAAACATTCCAGCAAAAACCAATCCTCAAAAGGTAAACCTAGGGGCTGGGGATGTAGTCAGTTGGTAGAGTGCCTGCCTGGCATGCACAAGGCCCTGGGTTCGATCCCCAGCACAACAAAGGGAATCTTTCCCACCCTGCTCCCCCACCCAGGAACTAGAACTTGCATCCCTCGTCCCTCATGTTTTGGGATATCCAGTGACCACAGACAAAGATGAAATTTACCTTTTATTCCCTGTACACCCAAGGGCTTCCTCTTTGGAGGTCACACTTTTTTTTGTTTTTGTACCAGTATTGAACCCAGGGGTGCTCAGTCACCAAGCCGCATTTGCAGCCCTTTTTTTGTATTTTTATTTAGAGACAGGGTCTCGCTAAAGTTGCCTAGGGCCTCCCTAAGTTGCTGAGGCTGGCTTTAAACTTGCCATCCGCCTGCCTCAGCCTGCGAGCCACTGGGATTACAGGCGTGTGCCACACCTGGTGACGCCTGGCTAGGTCAGTCTTAACATTTAGGTGTTTTTTTTTTTTTTTTTAAGAACAAGCCTGATTTATTTGTTCCATAAGAAAAGGGCAGGGAGGGCCGGGTGTATACAGCTCAGTGGTGGAGCACGTGCCTAGCTTATGTGAGACTCAGCACCACAAAAAAAGAAAAAGAAAGGCCAGGATGGTCCATGTCGGGGAAGGGATAATACTGGATAATATATGAGATGTAAAATACCAAGACGTGACACCACAGCCATCCCGGTCCTAGAGCCACAAGTATTCTGTTGAGCTGCCCCACACTGTTCCAGCTCTCCTCCTCCGAGCCTTTCACCCTTGGTCTTCCTTGGGAATGTGGGTTCAACGGTGAACTCTCTACTTCCAGGTGCAAAGACAAGGCCACCAGGCCTGGGATGGTGTGAAGGATGTTTCCCCTCATGCCACACCTTAGAAAAAGCCGTGCAAGGGCTGGGGATGAGGGGCTGGGGATGTGGCTCCAGCGGTAGCGCGCTCGCCTGGCATGCGTGCAGCCCAGGTTCGGTCCTCAGCACCACATACAAACAAAGATGTTGTGTCCGCTGAAAACTAAAAAATAAATATTTAAAAAATTATCTCTCTCTTTAAATAAAAAAAAGAGACACATTAAAAAGGGGGGGCTGGGATTTAAAAAAAAGGCTAAGGTAAATGGACAATGACCCCTAAGCCAGAACATACCAAGGCCAGGACACACAGACAGCCCACAGACAGCCTGGTACTGGGTGAACTATGATACATGGTGTTTTAGACGCTGCCCACCTAACTCATCTGAGCAGACGCTCCAAACAGGTTGCTCAACTTGTGCACAAAGGCGTTCCTGGAAAAGTGCGGCCAGGCTGGTCCCCAGATCTCAACCAAAGACCTCTGTGCTGTAAGGACACTCCACTGATTCTGTGCTCTGGGGACATTCTACGCACTGAGGACAGCACAGATTATAAAATCCCAAATTACTCCTCACATCCTACATTTTATCATCAGAACTATATTTCCAGGACTCCTTTTTTTTTTAAATAATTAGATTTATCTCATTTTTAATTTGTTTAAATTAGTGAGACATGACAGTAGAATGCATCTATGCACTTTGATAGATCACACATAGACGGGGTATAATTTATTTTCTGAGTGTACATGTTGCAGAATCACATTGGTCACGCAGTCCCATATATACATACAGTAATAATGTCTGCTTCATTCTGCTGTCTTTCCTATGCCCACATCCCCTCCCCTCCCCTCCCTTCACTTCCCTCTACCTAATCTAAGGTGACACTATTCTTCCCTAGTGCCCCTCACCTTATTGTGAATTAGCATCCACATATTAGAGAAACCATTCGGCCTTTGGTTTTGTGGGGTTGGCTTATTTTGCTTGGCATGACATTCTCCAACTCCAACCATTTACTAGCAAATGCCATAATTTCTATGCTGTAAAGGACATTCTACTGATTTCTGTGCTCTGGGGCATTCTATGTACTGATGACAGCACAAATTATAAAATCCCAAATTACTCCTCACCTCTTATGTGTCATCATCAGAACTATATTTCCAGGGCTACTTTTTAAAATAATTGGATTTATCTCATTGGGTATTTTTTAAAATTTAAATACTACTCAGCAAAGTAGTATTTTGTTGAGTATATACACCACATTTTCTTTATCCATTCATTGTTGAGAGGCACCTAGGTTGGTTCCAAAGTTTAGCTATTGTGAATTGAGCTGCTATAAACATTGATGTGGCTGCATTACTGTAGTATGCTGATTTTAAGTCCTTTGGGTATAAATCGAGGAGTGGGATAACTGGGTCAAATGGTGGTGCCATTCCAAGTTGTTCTGAGGAATCTCCATACTGCTTTCCATATTGGGTGCACCAATTTTCAATCCCACCAGCAATGTATGAGTGTGCCTTTTTCCCCACATCCTCGCCAACATTTATTGTTACCTGTATTCTTTTTTTAAAATATTTTTTTAGTTATACATGGGCACAATATCTTTATTTTGTTCATTTATTTTTATGTGGTGCTGAGGATCGAACCCAGGGTCTCACATGTGACAGGCGAGTGCTCTACCGCTGAGCCACCAACCCCAGCCCCTGTTACCTGTACTCTTGATGACTGCCATTGTGACAGGAGTGAGATGAAATCTTATAGTAGTTTTGATTTGCACTTCTCTAATTGCTAGAGATGCTGAACACGTTTTCATAAATTTGTTGAGCGATTGTATTTCTTCTTGGTGAAGTGTCTGTTCAGTTCTTTGACCCATTTGTTGACTTTTTTTTGTGTGTGTGTGCTAACTTTTTGAGTTCTTTATATATCCTAGAGATTAATGCTTTATTGGAGTTGCATGTGGTAAAGATTTTCTCCCAGTCTGCAGGCTCTCTCCTCACGTTATTGATTGTATCCTTTGTTGAGAAGAAGCTTTTTAATTTGAATCCATCCCATTTATTGATCCTTGATTTTACTTCTTGCACTTTAAGAGTCTTGTTAAGGAAGTCAGATTCTAGGCCACATGGTGAAGATTCAGGCCTATTTTTTCTTCTATTAGGTTCAAGGTCTCTGTTCTAGTGCCTAAGTCTTTGACCCAGTTTGAGTTGATTTTTGTGCAGGATGAGAGAGAGAGGTTTGATTTTGTTTTGCTATATATAGGTTTCCAGTTTTGCCAGCATCATCTGTTAAATACGCTTTCTTTTCTCCAGTGAATGTTTTTGGCACTTTTGTCTAGTATGACATAACCATATTTATTTGGGTTTGTCTCTGTGTCCTCTATTCTGTATCATTGGGCTACAAGTCTATTTTGGTGCCAATACCATGCCATTTTTGTTACTATAGCTCTGTAGTATAGTTTAAGGTCTGGTATTGTGATGCCTCCTGCTTCACTTTTCTTACTAAGGATTGCTTTAGCTATTCTGCGTCTCTTATTTTTCCAAATAAATTTCAGGCTAGGGATGTGGCTCAAGTGGTAGCATGCTTGCCTAGCATGCGTGAGGCACTGGGTTCGATTCTCAGCACCACATAAAAATTAAATAAATATATCATGTCCACCTAAAACTAACTAACTAAATAAATATTTTTTAAAAAAAATTCATGACTGCCTTTTCTATTTCTGTGAAGAATGTCATTGGGATTTTAACAGGAATTGTATTAATTCTGTTTAATGCTTTTGGTAAGTAATATAGCCATTTTGACAATATTAATCCTGCCTATCCAGGAACATGGGAGATCTTTCCATCTTCAACTTCTTTCTTTAGTGTTCTGTAGTTTTCACTGTAGAGGTCTTTCATTTCTTTTGTTAGTTTGATTCCCAGGTTTTTTTTTTTTTTTTTTTTTAGGCCATTGTGAATAGGTTAGTTTTCCTAATTTCTCTTTCAGTGGATTCATTGCTGATGTATAGGAATACATTTGATTTATGGGCATTGATTTTATATCCTGCTACTTTGCTGAATTCATTTAGAAGTTCTCTGGTGGGATTTTTTTTTGGATCTTCTAGATATAGAATCATGTCATTAGCAAATAGTGATAGTTTGAGTTCTTCTTTACCTATTTGTATCCCTTTAATTTCTTTCTTTTAATTGCTCTGGCTAGAGTTTCAAGGATGATGTTGAATAGAAGTGGTGCAAGAGAACATCCTTGTCTTGTTCCAGTTTTTAAAGGGAATGCTTTCAATTTTTATGCATTTAGAATGATGCTGGCCTTGAGTTTAGCATGGATAGCTTTTACAATGCTGACGTATGTTCCTACTATCCCTAGTTTTTTCTAGTGTTCTTTTTTAAAATATTTTTTTCAGTCATCAAAGAATCTTTATTTTATTTGTATGTGGTGCTGAGGATCGAACCCAGTGCCTCACACGTGCTAGGCAAGCGCTCTACCGCTGAGCCACAACCCCAGGCACCCCCCTTTTTTTTCTAGTGTTTTGGACAGGAAGGTGTGCTGTATTTTGTCAAAAGCTTTTTCTGAATCTACTGAGATGATCGTATTATTCTTGTTTTTAAGTCTATTAATATGATGAGTTACATTTATTGATTTCCGTATGTTGAACCAACCCTGCATCCCTGGGATGACTCCACTTGATTGTGGTGCACTATCTTTTTAATGTTTTTGTATGGATTCGCCAGAATTTTATTGAGAATTTTTGCATCTGTGTTCATCAGGGATATGGGTATGAAGTTTTCTTTCCTTGATGGGTCTTTGCCTGCTTTTGCTATCAGGGTGATATCAGCCTCGTAGAATGAGTTTGGAAGGGTTCTCTCCTTTTCTATTTCATGGGGGTATTTTCCTTTGATTACAGAAATGCTGAATGCTCATTGCAAAAGAAATCCAGCTGTTAGAGAAACAGGCCATAAGGAAATAAGGTGGTGCGGAGCTCTACCTATGGAGACGCACACCAATGTTTCTGCAGAATTTTTCTTATGTCCAAACCAGTCTCTGTGTCTCTTCTGTTTTGTTTTTTATGAGTCCTGGGGGTTGAGCCCAGGGGTGCTATACCACTGAGCTAAATCCCCAGCCCTTTTTTTTGTTTTGAGGCAGGGTCTCTAAGCTGCGGAGGCTGACCTCAAACTTGTGATCCTCCTGTCTCAGCCTCCTGAGTTGCTGGGATGACAGGCGTGGGCCACTGCGCCCAGCTGATTTTTCATTTTTTAGCAGAAGGATCATGCTCATTGGAGACTAGCCTTTTTTTGCTTCATGTGTAAGTGGCCATCTTCCTACATTGGCCCTAAGAAACCTCATTCTGTTGAAGAGCCGGATGATAGCACCCCACTGCAGGGTACCCTGGTTTATCCACACAGTTCCTTTTACATGGCTGATTCTTGATTTTAGCCATGAGGTGACAATGTGGTGGTTTGGGTTTGGCTTCTGGCTTGGGGTTTGGTGCTGGGGGTGCAGCCAGTGCCCTGTGTGTGCCAGGCTGAGCTCTGCTGCCCAGCTCCACCCGAGTCCCTGCAGATTCTTCTCCATGCAGCTTTGTGCTGGAGACTGAACGGCTCCGTGGGGAGGGACCTCCAGGTCAGAGGGTAGGTGTGTGTTTCCAGGTCCCCCAGGATTGACGTGGAAATGACCATCCTGAAGGAAGAAGGCCAGCCTCGCAGGCCCCGGCAGGAGGCAGGCGTGCTGTGCAGCCCACGTGAGGAGGCGCAGGCTGGCCAGGGAACAGAGGAGCAGGAGGAAGGCGGGGGCAAGACCATCCTGAGGTCTCCAGGACGGAATGGGTGAGGCTGCAGGTTCAGGATGGGGCAGCGGGAATCACTTCAGTGGGCTCTGGGGTGTCGGGCTGCTCCTGATTGACTATGCCTGGCCCTGGGGTGAAGAGGGCCGGTGGTCAGATCCCCAGAGTGTGACAGCCCCTTAGAGGAGGGGGTGGGAATGCGGGCCCTGGGTTCTCCTTTCTCACGGGTCCTTCACTTCCTCTTTTCTTGAGATATGTACAAGTGTAATTAAGTGATTACTTGTGAGATCAGCGTGCTCAAGTTTCTCATCCCCATTAAGACTCTGAGCTTTGGCGCACCCCTGCAATCCCAGGGGCTCAGGAGACTGAGGCAGGAGGACCACAAGTTCAAAGCCAGCCTCAGCAGCTTCGTGAGGTTCTAAGCAACTCAGCGCGATCCTGTCCCTAAATAAAATACAAAAAAGGGCCGGGGACCTGGCTCAGGGGTTAAGCGCCCCTGGGTTGGTTGGTTGGTTTTACTGAAAACAAAACATGAGCTTCGGAAGGGCAGACAGTGCCTTGTTCTTGGATGCACCTAGCACCCACTGCCACACGGGCAGCACTAGAGGCGCATCTCACAAATTAACAAACGGATGGATCCCGTGGGTTTCATCTTTGACTCAATTCCACTTGTGTGTCAGTGGCTGCCTTTCTTCTCAGTGTCTCAGCACTTCCTCCTTTCCCACACCTTTTATAAAAACCAAGGGTAAGCTGGGGATGTAGCCCAGCTTGTCCAGCATGTGTGAGGCCCCGGGTTCCATTCTCAGCCCTGGCCCCCAAGATAAAAGAAAGAAAGAAAAATGAAGGATAAAGCTGGGGTTGTAGGTCAGTATTAGAGCATTTGCCTAGCATGTATGAGGCACTGGGTTCCATCTTCAGCACCACAAGAAAACAAATAAGTAAAAAAAGGTTAAATTCTTAAAAAAAAAAAAGAAGAAGAAGAAGAAGAAGAAGAAGAAGAAGAAGAAGAAGAAGAGAAAAAGAAAGAGAAGGCAGTCACGCTCACACTAAGGCTCACACCACTGCACAAACCAGCCCAGGTCAAGAGGATCACCAAACTCAAACCCAACTCTCAGTGGGTAGGCAGCGCCCCCGTGTGGTCGATGGGAATATTTCAGGTTGGGGTTCATCTACAAATGCCCCAATTCAATGCCTGGTTATGTCTCTGTTGGTCCTTCAGCATCGACTTTCCCCTTTCTCCTTCCTGCCCCCACTCATGGGCTATCTCCCCTCCTTGCCTCTTGAGCACAGCCAACAGGAGATGGGAGGGTGGGAGGGAGAGAGATGGGGTCTCCAGTCCAGCCCCCTGAGGTGGGCTCTCTTCTGCCCCACTGTGAAGGCACAATGTGGTAGAAGAGCCGCTCCCTGACTTTCAAGGCTGGCCAGGAAAAGAGGCCACTTTCTGGCTGGGGGTGTGGCTCAGTGGGACAGTGCTTGCCTAACATGTGCAAGGCCCTGGGTTCAAGCCCCCGCACGGGGGCATGGGAGGATGGGAGAGTCCGTTTCCAGGAGGCTCTCCCCCTCTTGAACACAATGCTCTGGGGAGGACAGCTGCCATGTTGGGAGGCCACTCAGGCAGTTCCGTGGGGCGGAACTGAAGAGTGGCCTTACCAGTCAGCACCCACCAGCCAGCTACAATGTGAGCCATCTTGGAAACAGGTCTGCCAGCCTCAGTCAAACCCTCTTGGAACTGAAGCTCCAGCCAATGTCTAGACTGTAGCCTTGTGAGAGACCCTGAACCCCAACAGCCCAGCAGACCCATTCGTGGAATCCTGGTCCAGAAATACTGGATGAAATACTAAGTGTCTAGTATTCTAAGCTGCTACACTTGGGGCAATTTGTAACACTGCAATAAAAAATTAATACAATCGGTGACAAATGTCCCATGCTCCCACCCCAGGACCTTTGCACATGCTGTTCCGTCTGCCTGGAACTCTCTTTCCCCAGATATCCACTTAGTTCCCTCCCTTAGCTCCTGCAGGTCTCTCTTCAGATGTCACTTCCTGTGCCTTCCCTGAGCCTTTTTACCCATCTTCTTACCCTAGCTCATTTCTCATCATGTCATTTACATACCCTGTTCTATTAGATCGTTATGGGAGCAGGGATATTGGGGATTGAATGCAGGGGTGATCTGCTGAGCTACATCCCTGGCAATATTTATTTTTTATTTGGAAATAGCATCTCACTAAGTTGCCAAAGGTAGCCTCAAACTTGCAATCCTCCTGCCTCAGCCTCCCAAGTAGCTGGGATTACAGGCATGTGCCACAGTACCTGGCACATATTCATTTCTTTTCTGTCTCCCCCACTTCAGCACCAGTTCCACAAGGACAGGAGTCTTTGTGTCTGCAGTGCCTGAAACAGTGCCTGACACACAGTAAGCACTCTATACGGGGGCCACCATTATTAGAATCTTGCAGAACTGAAGTGCGTTGGGACTGGAGCAGCTTCCACTAAGTAGACTTAATGCCTACCACATCGGGGACTTGGCAGAGCTGTGAGCTCCCAGGGCAAACAGACCAGCCACTGGCAACTCTAATGGGACAGCCCCTTCAGACTTCCCCACTGCTGCCACAGAAATCTCAGTTCCTTGATACAGGCTCTATCCCCTGTCCTGCCTGAACTTCCACCATCCAGCTACAAAGAACCAAGAACTGTTTGCGGTTCAGCAACATCACCTTCTCCGGAGTGGGGACACACAGCCTAGGCGGTTAGGGGGTTCAACTAAAAAACATATGAACATCTGGATTTTTATTTTACTTCTTTATTGTTACTGGGAATTAAAGCCAGGGGTGTTTAACCGCTTGGCCACATCCCCACCCCTCTTTATTTTGTATTTTAGTTAGGGTCTCACTAAACTGCTTAGAGTCTCACTAAGTTGCTGAGGCTGGCCTTGAACTTGCGATCCTCCTGCCTCAGCCTCTCCACTTGCTGGGATTACAGGTGTGCACCATCACACCTGGCAACATTGTATTTTTAATGGCTATTTTCATTTTTTAAAGAATATATCTTGGGATTGGGGTCGTGGCTCAGTGGTAGAGCAATTGCCTCGCACATGTGGGACCCTTGGTTCGATCCTCAGCCCCACATATAAATAAACAATTAAAAAAAAAGGTATTGTGCCCATCTACAACTACAAAAATCATTAAAAGAAAAAAATATATATCTTTAGTCAGGTGCAGTGACGCATGCCTGTAAAGTGGCACACGCCTGTAATCCCAACACACAGGAGGCTGGGGCAGAAGGTTCACATGTTCTGTGAACCCAGGCTGGCCTGGGCAACTTAGTGAGACCCTGTCTCAAAGTAAAAAAAGAATTTTAAAAAGGGCTGAGGGAGGCCTGGGGTTGTGGCTTGCCTAGCATGCACGAGGCACTGGGTTCAATCCTTGGCACCACATAAATGTAAAATAAAGATGTTGTATCCACCTAAAACTTAAGAATAAATATTAA